AGGCTCCTGGGAAGCTCTTGAGAGGCTCTTGAGAAGTGCGCAGGGAGGCTTCGGCTCAGTGGAGGCTCCTGAGAGGCTGCTGACAGGCTACTGAGAAGGTCCTGGAACGGTCGTAGCGCTTGACTTCTGATGAAAGAAACACACACAAGACTGCCGCTCGAGACTTCGTCGGAATGTGGGGCATGGCGAATGGTTTTGCAGGCCTGAGCGGTTAGGCGGGCAGAGCGTCTACCAGCAGCATCGCAGCGTACGTTGCATAGAGCAGATAGCAGATGATTATCACCTGGGCCCCAAAGCAGAAGAGAAGGAGGAGGTGGAGGATAATGAGGAGGAGGAGGGGGGATGCTCGCGCACGAGCATCCAGCTCGAGACTTCCTCACAAACTTCCCCCCGCAAACCCACGAGAGGCTTCCTACTCCATACAGACTGAGGTGGGGCGGCGGGCCGGGCGCTGGCCCGACAAGGAGGAGGGGGAAGGAGGAGAAGGGAGCTGACGGGGGGAGGGGAGGAGGAGGCGGAGGAGGAGGAGGAGGAGGAGGAGGAGGAGGAGGAGGAAGAGGAGGAGAAGGAGGAGGAGGAGGAGGAGGAGGAGGGGAGAAGGAGGCGAAGGAGGGGAGGGGGAGGACAATACCCCCCTGGGAGAGACCCTGGGGGGGTAGGAGACGCGCCACCACCACCACCCCCAGGGGGGCCACTTCCAGCAAGGTGGAGATAGGGGATCAGGGGATGTCTCGAGGGAGCAGTGGGGGGATGTGGGGATTGTATTTTCATCCATTTCGTTTTTGACGACCCACTCACAAGGGCAGGTTCGTGTCGTGACGACCCCGGCACTGGTTTTTGACACCGCGTGGATCGTTCAACCTTGAACGGTCGGCGACTTTTCGATCGTCCGATCGTTCATATAGGCCGATTCTGGGCCACTGGCAACGTTCAACCTTGAATGCCCGCGGTGGGGTCGCCGCCAATCGACACGACGCGAACCTACCGTGCCCATGGCCACTCGTCCTCCCTCCGACCCCCCTTTTATGGATATGTGTGTGTGTTGTTCGCTCGTTCGCTTCACCTCTATCGGAAACCTCGATCGAAACACTATTGAGAAGCAAATGCGACAACGGAAGATGGATCTAAAGCCACAGAGACTTCGGTAAGCCACAGACTCAAGGCAAACATGTGCCCTTACATGTGGGCGAGGCCTCTGGGGACGCCTGCCGCTCAAGCTGGGAGCGCCCGATCGGTGCGGGAACGATGCCTTCAAGGCAACGCTTGTCAAACATGCAACTTTCCGAATCGGGGCCGGCTTCCGCAAGAGGGCCCCAAATAGCAGAAACATTGTTTTTTTGTCTGCAGGTCGAGCGAGAGCGGGCCTCTTCCGGTTAAGACCTAGGCGGGGCCCGCAACGCACGAATTGGCCAAATAGCAAGCACAAGCAACAAGCAATGATGAAAAAGGGCCCGAACACCGTTCTGCCACTCGGGGCTTCCAACGTGCCAAGACGGCCCAAGAGGCCCCAAGACCGCCCCACGACAGGCGGCCCCACCAGACGCCCCCAAGACCGCCCCACAACGGCCCACGAGGCCCCCAACGCTGCCCCGAGACGGCCCCCAAGACGAGGCCAAAAAGGTGCCCCAAAACAGGCCCGAAAGCTCCCAGGAGGCCCCCAGGAAGAGCCCAGGAACACAGACTGACATTTCGAGGCACCCACCCAAGCGCGAGCCACAGGCCCCGCAAAAAGGCCCCCGAGAAGCCCCAAAAACCTCTAGGAAGCCCCGCGAAGATTTGTTTGCTCCCTCTGAAACCCCGATGGGTTCCACCAAGCGCCCTCCGCGCCGCGCTGGCCGCGCTGCGGTCAGCCCGCGTCGCTCTGCAAGCAGAACACCCACGCGTGGGCCGTCGCCTCATCAGCCTCAACAGCGACGTGAGCCACCGCGCAGGACTCGTTCCAGCGCGGTCGGGGGCGGCTTCCCCGTCTGCGGGCGCTGCCCGCACAGCATGCGACCCCTCCTCTTGCGCCTCGGGTCCGCCCCCGAATCCGCCCCTCTCGGCGGGGGGGGGCCCAGTGAATGCGCGCCTTGTTGAGCCCGTCCCGCCTCTGCACCGCGTGGGCGCCACGCGCGCGGCAGACCGCGCGCGGGCCGCAGACCTGCACCATGTGTTGCCGCCTCATGTCCTCCTCCTCTGAGGGCGGCGCTGCCAGGGAAGGTGGCGCGCTCGCCCCTTCGCGGCCACCTCTAAGCGAGAGGGGTCACCCTCTGCCCTCGCTGCTGTCCTCGCGCCATCCGCTCAAGCCATCGCTGATGCTGTTGCCCGCTGCCGCGGCTGCTGCTGCCGCAACCGCTGCGTGCGCCGTACCTGCCGACGATGTGCCGCTCGCAGCCGTCGACCTGGCGGCCCAGCCCAAGTTCTGCACTGTCCAACGCACTCGAGCCCCACAGATTCGCCATGGCCCCCTGCAGGCCGTATCCGTAGTCCTCCTCGGCGCCGCGCTTCGCCGGCAGATCCGCGGCCTCGTTGTAATATGCTGTAATGCGCCACCTGCCGCTCTGGGCCCTCCAGCTGCTCCGGGGCCTCCTTGGAACGGTGCGCCCCGGCATGCCGCGCGCGACCGACCTCCGGGCCAATGTCCGCCAGCGCGCGCCAAATGTCCCGCCGAAGATCAACGCGCGCGCGCTTCCAGTTGAGGCGCCACCGTGCTCCGCACGCCAGACCGTCCAAGATGCCCTTGTGATCTGTGAAAATCCTGCACGGCGGCAGCGCCGCCTCTAGCACCGCCAGGAATGCCCGCATCTCGGCCCGCTTCACCGTCTCCTGGACGCGGTGCTGCCACGGCAGCGGCCCCCACAGCTGCACGCGCGGATGGTCCTCCTCCGCGATGGCCATGGCCGCCCAGCCCGCCCGGGCCCAGCAAGTTGCGCCAAGCATCGACCCGTCACAAGCGGTGCTGCCTCTTCGGATGTCGTCGTAGCTCTCGATGACGTCATAGCGGTACTGATCCTCATTGACCACCTGAAAACGATATTCTGAGGGCAGATCACGCACCAGCCCACGCGTCCACAATAAATCGTCGACCTGCTACCCCGCCACGTGCTGCCACTCGGTTTGCCCACGTAGCCGTACCTCGCGCAAACGTGAACTCTGGAAATATCTGTGATGTGGTGTGCCCACTGCTTCTCCACAACCCAAGCAGCTGTCCGCGGGCGTAATGTTGCACTTCGACAGCTTGCTCATCGTCCACGAGCTTGCTCATCGCCCACGAGTCGCGCAGCACCACCTTGCGCGCCGCGCTCTCGACATGCTTGGAGAGACCTCTCGACGCCAACTGCGCACACGCCGGTTGCAGCAAAGGGGCCGGCGCCCATGACTGGCACTCCTCCTGCTCCGTCCATTGCTGCCGCAGAACCGCTTGCACGTTTGCACGCATCAGCGCGGCCACGTCCGCAAGGCAAACCACAGTCATGTCCACCAGCTCGCTCTTGCGCGAGATGAAAATACCCCAGCTCGGCCACGTCCACTCCGCCCATCGCAAGGACAGGATGACTGCGCTGGCTGGCCCCTATACCCGACTCCAGTACTGGCACATGCCTACTAACGCCTGCCGTCGCTTCAAGGCACCCTGCAACTGCTTAGCAATGCCTCCTGAAAGCAGCTGTTCCTT